TTTTTACAAGGGTCTGTAGTGACAGGACAAGGGGTAATGGGTATAAATTGAAATCAGGGAGGTTTAGATTAGGTATCAGGAAGAAATTCTCCCCAGAGAGGGTGGTGAGGCACTGGAACAGGTTGCCCAGAGAGGCTGTGGAAGTGTTCCCATCCCTGGAAGTGTTCAAGGCCAGGCTGGATGAGGCTTTGAGCAACCTGGTCTAGTGGAGGGTGTCCTGGCCCATGGCAGGGGGGTTGGAATTAGATGATCTTTATGGTCCCTTCTAACCCAAACCATTCTATGATAAATCTGCCCAATAGCTTAAACTTCTTAAGTTTGCTCCATACCTATCACCTGCTTAAATTCCAAGACTGCTAGGAACTATACTTCTACTTGATAGGGTAAAGTGAGGTGTATTTCAAGATGCCTGGCCTGTGACAGCTACCTAAACAACACTGAAATATTAGCACAGGCTACCATAGCTGGTTTTTTTCTTCTTTCTGCAAAATGTCACAAAACACAGTGTCAAGGGGAAGTCCTGTGCTGTCAGGAGATACACTTCATTTAGCAGGGATCGCAAGCAAAATTGTGCCTCCAACCTAATTAAGGGCAAAACAAATATGTGGCTTGGGTGCTTTTCATCAAGCAACTCAAAGAAGTTTGCTAATATTATACATTGATATATGTTCATGCATTTACTCAGAGATAAACACTCACACATATACATACATTAATAAACACATATATTAGAAAAAAAATTCATGAGCTTCTCTGGACAACTCATGAAATCTAAAAAGGCCTAGAAGCAATTCAGGGTTTTTAGGTGTTTCTACTTGAGACAAGTCTACATATCAACTTCACAGAAAGCAAGAAGTTACTTGCTAACTTCAGTTTTACGTTATATCTGAACGGAAACACTATCTACCATTGCCACTCCCTTTTCCCAGACCCTACTATGTGCCACACAGTGCCCCATCTCCCACCCACAACACACGTTTGCCACTCACCTGACCGCACAGGAAACAGACCCAACTCACCAGCCTGACAACAGACCTTTCCACCAGGTTAGTTTTCCACGGTTTCAGTGAGTTGAATCAGTTTGCAGTGAGGTCAGACCAGCAGCACAGACATGAAGTGAGCAGCTGAGAAAGGGAAGTAGGATAAACCGCTAATTTGGCTCAGACAGAACAAGAAATCACCACCCGCATTCTAGTCAACAGTCTAAACTATCACTGCTACCAAGAATAAGCAGGGCTCCTTGCCCACCCTCCCCCCTTGTTTTTTTCTGCCCTTAACCCTAACTCCTTCCCCATTCCCCCACCTCCTCCCTGGGCGAGAACAATGTATTTGTAGAGCAAACAAGACTGTTGAAACACACAGGTTACAAAAAAGGCGACCTATGCTTAAAAAGGGGAGAGGCAATTTTTCCACTCAAAGCAGATTTCAAGCAGCTCACACATCTCCAACACTCGTACCTACAAAACAGAGAGAGTAATAACACAATAAAACATTACTAGGTATGAAGGACTGCTCTCAGCTACAGGACCAGCCTACTTCAGCAACTCTAGACTGCTGCCAAACCAGTGGCCATTTCTCTTTACCTCTGGACCTGTGTTCCTGCAACCTCACACAATCTTGGGTAAGCTTACTGATCCGAGACCCCCAAATCACAGCAGTATTTCTGTTAAAACAATGAGGATGATGGCTGAATGAAGTGTCCCTTTGGCAAGTGCAGCCCACAGCTGATTTAAACTGAACATATAAAGAAACTGCATCCTTGTAAGCGTATCAGATGTAGGGGAAGTCTAAAGGAAATAAAAGACGTTCTTAAATTAGCATCGATGTATTAGGCATGAATGAAATAAGCACTATGGAAAGTCATGAAGTTTTACTGAAGGATTAATATATTTTCCTATATGAAATATCCAGTCACTTTTTTCTTACCACACATCTGTTTACAAATATCAAATTTGGAGATACTTATGAAGTCACTACTCTTTTTATAACAAGGCTAGAACAATTCACTGATACAGAAACTCTAATATTGATAAAGTCAGCATCACGTTTTTCCTTCTCACTCTCGAGCAGCCAGGGAAACATTTACTCTTTACCTTTCTGAAACAGTCTCCTGAAGACATCTGATCTGACACCCTTAGGAATTCTTTCATTATTTTAAAAAGTCACAGGCTTCCCCACAACGCAGGCGCAAGCTGGATCTGCTCCCAAGAAAAGAGATGCACCACTCCATCGGCAGATGGAATGCCTTGCTACAGTGAGGTTACACAAAGACTGCTGCCTTTCACGTACCAACTCTCTCTTCCTGCAGCACCTACACATTTCAGACACTACCCCACCCAAATCTATTCAGCTTGCAAAACAATGCAGCACAGCAACAGACTACTGGTTGAAGTAGCCCTCTGTTATCTATTAATTTGATTGTTCTTCATCATGTCTCAAAACCAAATCCACCCATTCCAGATAGTATGGGGATATAAGTTCATGCACATTAACTCATGTGTATCAGTATTTTTGGCAGTCTGAAACTGTTGCTGGGATTGGTTGATTTCACACTCATAACTATCACCCAATCACCTCAGAGTCAGACTGGACCTCTTCCGCAGCTGGATGAGATTCATCAGGTGTTGGGGATTCAGTGCTGTGTTCTGACATACCTGAAAACAAAATAGGTTTGGCATGCATTAATTGAGGTGAATGCAGCTGGATGTTGCACCTTACAAAAACTAAAGTAGGCTTATGGAAAACATTTTTTTTTAAGTTCTGCTAAAGCAAAGAGAAACCTCCTTCTTTTGATGATGACCAGGTCTTTAGCCCTCCAAAATCTAACCACACCTAGGAACACAGTTTGGCATAAACTCGCCAAAGCAGCCTTCCCCGCGCAGATGGCTAAGCATGCAACATAAACCCCAAGAAGTCAGACAAGCTGGTAGTTACTGTCACCTGCAACAATACACTGACTGTATCCTACTGTTGCAAAGATCATCATTTTGGTAAGATGTAATATTTACCCAAATGTTGCAAGTTTATATTGATGCTAAGCCCTGGAACATAGTAAGCTGTTCAGTCTGGTTTTGCCTAACTAGTAACAGAATCTCTTACATTTCATTCTCAAATGAATCTCACCGACAGAGGTAAAGCAAACCGGTAACAGGCACAAGAAAACAACTCTGAGCAGCATGATCATGGGAGGTGACATAGCTAATTAGCTGAAATAAGTAACAAAATTTGATTTCAAATAGCTGGTAGCTACAACTGACACTGCAATTCACTCAGTTGTTTGAGAAGAGGAGACAACCCATCATTAAAAATTAAACAGAGCCTGTCAGTATTGAGTATAATCACACATGACTTCAGTTCATTAGGTTCTGCCATCATTTCATACATGTTCAGCCACACACCAGAGTAAAGAAAAATGATGAAGAGATCACTATTTATATCGTATTTCAGTTTCCCAAGCTATAAAACTTTATTAATTAAAGCAAACAATAAGGTAGGTAGCTCACGTGACCAGGGAAATAAAATAAGGACACAAAAGCAGAGAAGCTGAACCATCAAGATCACATTACACTGGACAACCTATTACTTTGGAAAACCAAACACATAAGAGATTTTCTCCAGAAAAACAATTCATTCAGGGCTATCACTGAACAAAACTGGATTTTCCCCCAACCAATACAAAATTCCTTTCACAGTAATGCAAAAAGAAGCATAACTTCATGTATCTTCCTTAATTTTCTGTAATTCTGTTGAATATGAGAAACTGCACAGCAGACGTGCTGTTTTCCCACACAGTCCTGTCCAAACTCTTGCTTGTGGTTGAAAACAACCTTCGTGCTTAACAGCTTATTTCTGAGTAGATAAAATAATTCCACTATGGACTAAAAGAATAAGTGTGATTTCTTTGATCTGCTGGTTAACCAAGAAGCTAAATTCATCTTGGAGCACAGACTCAGTTAGGACAATCTATACCTCAGTTGCACCACATTAGTGATCCTGGAGTTACGTCTGTACCTCACGTACAAACTTACATACCATGGTTATGCTGTTTAAAATCCCTAAATGCTATAAGGAGCAAAAATATTTTCTTTATAGCCTTAAGGACTCTTAATAACCTAATCTAGAGGCATGAACTATCTCACATATCCATGTAGAAGACATCACATAAAGAATACATCATTAAGTTTTTAAAATCCTAATTTGCCATGTGTGTAACAACCTCCTCCCCACCAGTTTTTTATGTAGTATTCTTTTTCTGCAAGCAGTATCAACACAGCTCTGCAGGATCGCACTGACCAACACAGGAAGGGAAAAACTGCAGATTAAAGGTGACTTTCTACAAAAGTTTATCCACACATTCTAGTTTAACTACAGAATTCCCTGGTGACTACTTCTATAGCAAAAAAAAAAAAATTTCTCTTGCAGGTGCCAGAGAAAGGGTTGATCTTCCTACGAGCTCATTAATCCTCAATACAGTATGAATTCTGTGTACCAGGACATAAATTACCATCAACTGCAATTACAAGGCAGAGGTGTTCTACTTGGAAAAAACATGTGTGATGCACACTCTGATATGAACTTAAGCCCAAAACCCTGCCCTCATCACTCCTGGCCCACTGGGTTTTTATTTTTTCCCCACTAGACCAATTCTGCAATTCCACAAAAATACTTGCACCAGAGTAGAACAGAGGAGACAGAATAGACTCAGAATCTTCCCCCCCCCCCCCCCCAACACAC